TTCGACATGATGTAGTTTCGCTTCTCCGTTTAAGCATTTTCGATGCAACGTACACGCAACAATATACCTTCGTTACTAAACATCGTTTTTGTTATAATGATACTTCACAATACGTCGAAGACGATAAAGTTTTTTTTTATATTTTACTGAAAGCTATGAATATCAAATTATGGTAGGATTTTTAAATAATAATTTATGACCGGAATGCTTCGGTAATGCTGATTTATCATTAATCATACTTCCGGCTAGAAAAAAGAATTAATATTTCAGAATTTTCTATTAGACAAATATTATTTTAAGAGGTAGCTTTTCATATATTTTAGTATAAAATGTTTGTACATATAATGATGTAACGTTATAATATATGTTATGTAAAGGTTGTATTTGATTGAAAATTATTAATGCATTCTGGATCATTTCGTTAATTTAATAACATGAATAGCGCGAAGGATTTACTTGCTCTCAATTTATATCAGCATTGTTAGAACTTCACAAGAAGCGGTGACGTGATCGAAATACGAGGTGACAGTTTTGAGAGTGTAAAGTGTATTGTGCATTCGCGGTGAATGTAAATGCGTGCAGTAAATTGTGCTATTCTGAGGTGACGAGCAGTTGCAATTTTTCTTAACGAGGTCGTCCTACGACAAAATTGAAATCGTGTTGAGTCGTTTGCAAAAAAGAAAAAGTGGATCTTCTTTCTCTCTCACTGCAGACCGCAGTCCGCACAGTTGGGTTTTCTTCCGCTGCGAATGCCGCCGAATACAAATTGATCGTGCCCTTAAGCCGCGTAGGCGACCTCATCGTTTTTATTGTAGTCACGTGCCGTTTTTCCAGGCACTTTTACTATTTTTCCACATAAGAGAGATGTGCATCCGATATTTTCTCACCGATGCTTTTCTTTCGAACCTTTTACACACACCGTGCCCCCAGAAGAAAAGGTCAATGCTTCCAGAGGTAGTAGCACCAAGTATATAGTAAGTAGATAAAAAGTTTTCCACATAAAATATGCTTTATAAAGTTGCAAAGCATTTATAAAGCTTATGTGTGTCATTAGACTTAAATCACCATAATTTCCTAAATCTTAAGAAATTGTTAGCTATTAAACTGCTACAAATAAAAGGAAGGATTGCCTATACATATTTATAAATAAATATATCGATCGTTCACAGAAGGTTCTTTACTCGTAATATTCAATACTATTATATCACTTACCGAACTATGACCTTTCTTCTACGACATCGTATGTATAGATAAGCTTCCTAGGACTCAAAGAAAAACCGATGTTAGTTTTTTTCTCATTGCCGCCAAGTAAAGCCTTGGATGTATTTAATTTTCAATGCGGTTCACATCTCTTTATGATTTTTTTTTTGCAACTCTATGCAGAGATACTTTTTCTTTCATAATCAAATTAACTTTTGTGGCATTAGATAGAGGAGAATTAAATAAAGGACAAATATTAAAAAGTATCATCGCAACGATGATCATCTTTTGATGAGTAAATATATTAAAAATTGTTAGTTTTTTCGTCGATGGACGAATAGAAAACTACTTCATTAAGAAACAAGTTAGATGATACAACTTTTATTGAATTTATTAAAACAAACATCGCGTAACAAGATTCGATCGCGAATATTTATCTTTTAAAAATGAAATTAAATTTATAACAAAATTTATTCCAAGAATATGGTTTTGATACGTTAATTAAGATAGACAACTAGAATAAATATTCACAAGATCATAAATTTAAATTTCTTATTATTGCACCTTTAATCAAGATAAATAAATATTCATAAAATCATAAATCTCAATTTCTTAATATTACACCGCTTGATCTTTTTTACGATCAGAATTTCATTCGTCGACATTAAGCCTTGAAACATGAAATCAACGGATTATGTACAGATCTTATGACTCGACTGCTGTAGTTTTTCTTGATCATGATACTATAAAACTTTATGCTCCACTTTTACGCTTAAACGAAGCTTGTTCTCGTTCTGGGAAAAATAAATATCTTGCTCATCGTCATTTTAACTGCGGTGTGATACTTTTAAAGATTAAAGAAAATTAAAAAAAGAATATATTTTATCCTTTCAAAGCTCTTTTTGACGAAAACACGAATAATAAATAAAAGTCCCGTGATGACCGGAGAAATGAAATCCTGTAAAAAACTGTTTTGTAATTCGTATATCGATTCTCTTGTATCTATAACGAGACATTAACTTTCATTTTCTAACACATTGACACGAAAAATAAGCGGACAACAATCGGTACACCCACTTTTTTTTACTATCTCTGTCTCTACTCTCTTTTACCACTCTACCTCTGCACGTCAAAACCAGTTAACAGAGGTCAAAGGTATTGCTCGGTTCAATTTATGTTCATATAGTAACTCCGCAATTCTACCCTGATACGTATATGATACATATTCATGAGCACCTGGCAATGCTTTGTACGAAGGACGCGCCATGAGCCTCCTGCCTTTGGTAGATTGAAAGTATCCGTGTTGGTTTACCATCGTGTCGATTGTGTTTGTCGTGCGACCAGGCCAGCTGTTCCGTCGGTGGCCGCTTGCGATTGAGAACGCTGATAATTTAATAGACCGTATACTATAACAATATACAGCTGTATTCGGTTTACAGTAATAGTACACTGTTAAAAGGAAGAAATTTGTTTCTGTTACATTTAACAGAAACAAATTTCAAACAGATGAATAAAAAACATTTAGATTGGATTGTTCCACCTTTCGATAAACTTCAGCTCACTATCTTACTCTCTTGAGGTGCGTTCCGTTTCACGTATGGTATATCACTTTATCCTTGTTCATCGAATATTAAAGAAAGATAAAAGATATATCATGCGTATTATGCGTGAGACGGAACGCAGCTTTACTTTCTCTGCTCTTACTCTTTTACTCTTTTGTTTATCCAGAAGGTAAATTACACATAGTTTTATCCGAAGATGAAACAAACCGGCCTTTAATATTGTTAATGAAAATGAAGTTACAAATAACTTAAATTTCGAAGCGTCACTTAAAATTGACATCAGATTGATTGACGCAATAAGCGTCCGCCAAAAAGAAACGAATGAATGAATTTCATTGTCTGTAACAGAATTAATAAATTTGGAGTTGTCGACGACCTATCCCAATTTAATACGGAACAATCAATCTGCTTGCTATAAAAAGATGTGTTCAGCTATTCTCTTTTGCAATCATCTCGAGAGAGTATCTTCGAAAAGGTGAAAAGAATCGGAAGTGATTGGAGCGTCATGTCGACTCTTTCGATCAGTCGATTGCGAACGGTAGAATTGGATCGATTGACTGGAAATGAAGGAGAGAACGAAAGTATAGGATAAATTTTGATATCATCGAAATCAGAAATGGCGAGGTCAGTTAAAGTCAATAATGTCGAGATATCCAGGAAGAGGCCAAAGGCACCAGAAAGTGTCACCTTGTTGAGTTTTTCTGGGAAACCACACTCTTTACTCCTCTCTCTCTCTCTCTCTCTCTCTCTCTCTCTCTCTCTCTCTCTCTCTCTCTCTCTCTCTCTCTCTCTCTCTCTCTCTCCCTCCTCTTTTTTTCTCTCTTCTTTCCTGCTCTAACTTCCATTTTTTTTCGATTTTTTTGTTATAACGAAAGTTACATTTTACGAGAATTTCACAGCTTTATGTTTAAATCTTAATGAATAAAGAGCGAATGAAAAAAGCCTTTTCCGGTGATCTTAATTTTTTTTCAACTTAATTAATAGATCGATCTTAATATTAAACATCTCATTTTGTAGGTTCGAATACTTATATTTTTTATAGTAAAGTTTTTTTCTATACAATCAATATTTTTCATTCTAAACACGAAAAATTTTGTACTTTTTGTAACTTTCCGAATTTTTTCCATATATTTTCCACACAAATCACGAATCTCACACATATACACTTCTTTCTTGGCCTTCCGAAGCATTTGAAAAGAAATGCTTATCCTACAATTTTTTTGTTGTAAGTCTAATTCTATTAGACTATATAATATAAAAAAGGTGTATAAATTCCAAATTACTCGTAAAGATCTTCGTAATAAATTTTATTTCAAAATAGTCTTGTAATTATTTTTAAACATAAATTTAAGTAAATATAAAATAAGAAATATTTGCGTACAGTGATATAGATATGTCAATGTAATCGAATTCTGTAGCATTTGTGCGGTTCATCACAGGTTCCTTGCAATTAATCCGGTGCTGCGAGTATATTGTTGATTTTGAATGCAAACATATAGTTGAGATATAAATTGCAAATTGTAATTTAATATCAAAGTAATTTAGAGCGTAACTGCGATATCGAGAACAGAAAAAAAGTTTAAAGAACATAAGTATGTGAACGAAATAAGAATTAAAATAGGAGCACAAAGAGGCAGATCGGATTGTAAATTTATTGTGAAGAGCGATAGATGTAGCGGCGATTGGCACTCTGTCTTGCAGAAATTCGAAAGTTTGCGTGTATAGTGGCGTATAGTTATGACTATGCACAGACTATTTCTCGATCAATATGATGCTAGACAATGTACTTACGATATTGTATTCACAATTTACAATGTGTACTTTACGATTTTCTTGTTAGAAGTAATTGTAACATATGAATTGGAATAATGTTGCAAATGTCAATTGACGAACTTTTTGAAAGTGAAAATGATGGACTTTTTATAGAACATATAATAACATTTTATTGACGAGATAATAATTGAACTTTCATAATTGATAATAGCAAATTTATATACCTTTATTTATTTATTTTATCTTTATTTACGTGTAGATTTTATATTACTGTTTACTGAAAGTGAGTTGCTCAATAAAGAATGCATTACAACACAATCCTGCACCACAAATCGAAAAGACATTTAATACAACCTATTTCAAATTCTAAATAAAACTTCTATCTTCTCTGGTGCATTAGAAAATAATAGGTTTCTGAACTCGAGACCCATGCACGTAAATAACTTTTCGATCTTTCAATTTCAGAGGTGAAACTAGAACTGGAAGACCTGATGTCTGACATCAAGAAAACCGCTAACAAAGTGAGGGCTAAATTAAAGGGTAAGTTATTATAGTTTGGGTGTTCCACAGTGACACGATGACATGTATTAAATTGATCGATCCCTCGCGATCGTTGAGAGTACATTTCGCATTGCCACACCCAAACCTTGTTTCCCATGTTTAGTGATAGAGCAAAACATCGAGCAAGAGGAGCACACCAATAAATCGTCAGCAGATCTAAGGATACGCAAAACTCAGCACTCGACGTTATCTAGGAAGTTCGTCGAGGTGATGACGGAGTATAATCGAACACAAACCGATTATAGAGAGCGGTGTAAGGGAAGAATACAACGACAGCTCGAGATCAGTGAGTATATGTATGTCATGATTGGCCGCATTGCAATCTAATGCTTATTCGAGCAAAACATGTCTTTCCAATCTGTTGTCACATCGAGTTTTCTTTTTGGCGAATCTAATTTAATTCTAATATTATTACGTTTTAAGTTTTCAGTTTACTAGTTATTATATAATTTTCTTAAATTTTTTTAATGCTGTAATGAGAACGCGATAATCATAATGATGTGTAATATAATTTTACAACTGTAAATGTGTAAACAATAATTATGTCAATGAGATCAATGTTTATATTATCTATCGATATTTATGAAATATTTAATCATTTCGTTCATTGAATAAATAATAGCGCTAGCAACTTGACGGAAAATTGATTGCATTCGCAAAGTTAAATTGCGTTTATTTGCGAAACGAAGGAATTTCTCTATTTTTTTCCAGCGGGGAGAACAACCACCAACGAGGAACTCGAAGAGATGCTGGAACAAGGAAATCCAGCCGTTTTCACGCAAGGGGTACTGACTTGATTTGACTTTTGCATAATTGTCTTATTAGTAGCTATGTGAGAAGCGTTAATAATTGGTAACTTTTTTACTGGTTAAACTTGTTTCAGATCATTATGGAAACGCAACAAGCAAAACAAACTCTTGCGGACATCGAGGCGCGTCACGCTGACATCATTAAACTCGAAAACTCCATCAGGGAGTTGCACGACATGTTCATGGACATGGCCATGTTGGTAGAAAGTCAGGTAAGGTTGAACAACTTTATGCAAATTTATTCCGGAAACAGTTTACCTGTTTAAACGATAAATATACCAGTGTCCTTTTTTTTGTAGAAATTTTCTCAATAATGAGATTCATGTTGCATGTAAAAGATTTTATATATCTTTATTATTATTATTTTTAGATAACAATTTTCTCTCTTGATTTTTTTTCATTGATATAAATGAAAGAATAATGCTCTGCCATAAGATATATACATAACTTACGTGCAAATTGCATATGTCATGTATCGCAAATATCATGCAACATATCAAAGATATTTATTATGAATATTGATTTACTTTATTATGTTCTATAAACAGATGATAAAAATCTAATTGTAACAGTAATTAAATATTGCTGGTAGAATCGGATTAATTCACATGAGATTACAACTATTTTCGTATATACAAGTATAAATTTACCGCAGAAATTCATAAATTGATTAATAAATTTAACTTTTCTAATATAGGTAATAAGTTGATGTATATAATTGGAAAAAAATATAATATAGACAGAGAAGAAATTTAGTCTAATTAAAAAAAATTTATGTAGCTTAGAGAAAGGAACTTTCTCGTATTATAAATATATTAATCTAATTTCTTATGATAAAATAAAGATTAAAATTCTGTTAACAATATTTTCAGTAATGATACATTTTATATACAATGATGGTTTTTAAATGTATTAAATGAATAATTATTTTTTATTTGTTTATTTAAGAAAATTTATCTGGCGTGATTTTATTTTCAAGCAAAGAGAATATTTTTGTCGAACTCTGTCAGATACACGTTTTAATTTATTTTTCGACTCAACCTATCGATTTGATTAACAAATGAGATGCTTTATTGCGAGGTGCTTGAGCGACATCGTTCTTTGCAATTGATTGCATAATAAGATTACATATTAAATAGTTTGTTTTACCGAATTTTAATTGATATTATAATTTGAAGAGTACGTCCGCCTAAATTATATTATTTTTGTATTAGTTGCCCGCGATTGCTTTAATACATCGATGATCCATAAGCAATTAGGAGCGTAGCGCGACGCAGTGTAACAACCCCTTTTCTTTAGTAATATTTCTTAGTGAGCCGCATTATGTGACTGCTAATCAAAGGGAAATTTTTTCAGTGCACTAAAATCTCAAATTTTCTCGAGGAAATTTAATTATTTATTTTATACATCCTTTTTTTTATTAAATAATTATTACTTGTTTTTTCTTTGATGTCTATTTAAAACTTTTCCGCGAAAAATTGGAGGTTTTAGTTCATCGCTTTCTTTCTCTGCATGATATTAATTAATAAATAATAATAACAATAATATTATTAATCTTTATTTGTCATGATACTGTTTGTCTAAATTTAGTGATCTTTTTTCGCACAGCGAGACAAAGTAATTACCGCAGTAGCTTACCTCGATAATTTACACTCACTATCTTTGTAAAGAAAAATAGTTTTTTAATACTGTCAGTTGAAAATATCAATTCAACAAATCACACAATTCTAAAATTCCTATTCCAAGAAAATTTATAATTTTTTTATTTGTATAATAATATTTTTATAATTATATTTTTATAATTATAAAGCAGTAATATAAATATCATTGATTCTTGGCGATAATTACTTTTCTCATTATCAATGCCAGTGTGCAAACTGATGCATGACAATAAGAAAAAAAGTGGCGAACAGTTTAATCACTAGCCTTGCCTTACTCTTGAGGACTAACACTCTCTCTTCCCTTGTGTTACGCTGTGTGGATTCGCGCCGCGCCTCCTACCCACATTAGGGCGAGATGATAGATCGCATAGAGTACCACGTGGAACACGCGGTGGACTACGTGCAGACAGCCACGCAGGACACCAAAAAAGCACTCAAGTATCAAAGCAAAGCCCGACGGGTGAGTCCTCCCCAGATATAACGTCTCGAAGTCATTTCATTCGCGTCTAATTTGTCACTCTTGTTTTTTTCTTCCTACTGTTCCTGCATCCCCCACCCTTCGTATTTCTTGATTCCCATTTTCACCTCGTTCTCCTCATTCCTTTTATATCATATCCGCTCTACTTATGTTATCCGCTTCTATTGGTATATATCTCGCTGCAATCTGTATTAATCGATGTACATCTACTCCACACTCGCCTCTCTATGCGTAAACAATTAATGACGGCGCTTTCTTTCTGTTTATTTATTGTGTATGTTACTTTGTCGGTCGTTGGTATTCGTGTCAATTCGCGCTCATAAACGATATATAAATGTATATATCTACATTACACTATATACATACATACATATATATATATATATGTATATATATATGCTGATATATATATATGTGTTATACTCTTTCTCTCTCTCTCTCTCTCTTTCTCTCTCTCTCTCTCTCTCTCCCCCTTTTTTCTTCCCTATATATATATACCTATTCATCGCTCTCTGTACTCTGTCGAAATATGGGTGTGCTAATTGTGTGCCTCTGTCCATCAACTGCTCTGTTTATTACTATTACTCGTACTATTAACCTTATGTATTAATCTCTATGCTGTCGATACTAATATGGGTACGTGTGTATAACTGTGTCGATGTGAAAAATATGACGGTGTGTATGTGCCTGCACATACATGCGCGTACGACGCTGGGAATGTGGCATTCTCTTGCTGCGGGGATGTTGCTTCTCTCTCTCGCCGATTATGTGTACATAAATGTCATCCTGGGTGCATCCATCCCCGAGGTTGTTCCCCTCGACGAGCGAACCTGGTTCCACCTCGAAATCCTCCTTCCTTTCATGTCCATCCTGATCTCGAGTTCCGTCCTTTGTCCCACGTTGTGGTATGGCAGGGGGAAATGATGGACAGCATTGAGTACTGCGTGAATCAGACCGGCGACCACGTCGGCCAGGCCCGGGGCGAGCTGATTAAAGCCGAAGAGTACCGATCCAAGGCTCGTAAGGTAAAAAACATCAGACACCAAACACAGCTGACACCAAACACAACTAGGCAAATCTATTTCTCGCGTAATATTGAAAAACGAAAAGCCTTCCGAGGCAAGGAGCAGATTTCGCGAGTTTCGGATCAGCTCGATTGACATGAACGCTGCTAACTCATGGATTAAATTTAAGAAAAAAGTTGATTCTTTATCTGAAAGTGTTATCAAGAAAATATGTTTTTTTTCCCCTTTTGTTTGTCGACATCGCGAATTTTGTGAGGTAATAATTTCTTTAGAATCCATCGAAGAGTTGTCTTTTTCCGGTGAGTCAATTCAGGATTTACTGAACACTTCTGAAATATATTTGCAATAAGGAATCGTTTCGCTTGGCGGCGTTTCATCAAAAGACGACATGGCGAATGAATAAAATCCGATGGAAAGGAGCAAAAAGGAATAAGTGTCTATTGAATGATTGATTCGAGAGAGATTTATTCGAAATTTTATGAAATGCGACGGCGGACTTGAAAACATTATCACAGAGTAATATTTTTCTTTTGCATCGTTATCATTTTCTCTTCTCTACTTCGCGTTGTCTTCGCATAAAATCTTGATTTCTCTTACCATTATGATTCTTAAAGTCAACATTTTTACTTGGAAACGCATTCACTTGGCGTAGAGGATAAATGTTAAAAATTTACTGCAAAAGATTTACTGATCGCGATTTAAGAATGCCTGTCCAGAAAAATATGATATTTTGCTTGTATGCAAAACACACAATGTACACACACAAAAATCTCTATAAATAGTTTCTTAAATTATAAGAATGTGCGTGCATTCGTGCGCGTGTGTGTGTATATGTATAAGAGAGAATCGATTTTGATAATATTTTGACCGAATGTAATATGTATATTGTTAAAAAAAAATTTGCTTCTATTACATATAACGGAAGCAAATTTCTAGCAGGTACATTAAAAACAATGAATTTCATATACATGTATAAAATATCCTTTTCAATTACTTTAGATACATTAACTTTAATATAATGTTATAAAATTGAATTTAACTTGTGCAACTTAAAAATATACATTAAATTTCATGTTTTTTTCGACAGAATAGATATAAAGTTACTGAAACAACAAATTTGAGAAATATTCGAGTATCAAAAAAGATTTTTAAAATACTTGATTCGAAATGAAATTGCTGAAATTCTTTTTTGCTCCTGAAATAATTCCTTTTGTTCTAATACTACCTATGATCAGGCATTTCGCATCGAGTGGGATCCGAACCTTGTTTTTTGTGATTGACTTTCAATTTTGTGTATAGTGTACAATTGCACTCGTGCTAATTATACCACTGCACTATTCCTTGTGTTACGTTTGCGACAGTATTTTCCGCGATCGAAGTCCATCGTGGGATCGCGGTAAAAGAGATGAAGTGTAACAGTCGATGTCGAAGAGATTACTAGTACAAGGATAAATGAATGCACTGCTCTGTAGATTAGCACAGAAACGATGTAATAAAATAGATAGCGGAATAAACAATTTTATTGTCGAGTATGGTTTGGTATTTGTGATTAACTATAGTTTGTGAACGCACCCGCATTATTAGTTGCATGTGGAATGTGCTTGATTATGTTGCCAGCTAATCCTCTCTTTCCTAAAAGTTATCATCAGTACTTACATACTCTACATACATTAGTAATGACTATTTTTAAATAATATACATTTTACTTCTGTAAAAATTTAGTAAAAACTTTACCTAAATTATTTATTTTTTTTTTAATAATTCTAGTGAGGGCAGTGGAAGATAATTATTTACAATAATGGACAACTTTGACTTTGACATATGTTGTCAAGGTCTTGACCCACTCGTTAACAAGTTTAACAAAATAAGTTTTATAAATGAGTTTAATTTTATGATGGCTTTCCACGCGAAGCGAGATTCATCCCATTTGTCCCAGGAGTATCCGACTTTCCACCGCGAAACGAGATCCAGCCCATCTCTCCCCCTGCCTAGGAGTGTACGACTTCATATGCTTGTAGATCTTACTTCACGTGAAAAGTCGGAGGTCTGGGCAGAGAGGGAGGTAGAATGGACCTTGTTTCGGGTGAAAAATCGTATAGACGCATGATACTAAAATTGCGCTTTAACTGTAAGGTACAGTTCCACAACTCACGGTTTTAGAATTGGAAATAGATGGGAAATAAGTTGGACCTCGGTTATTAAGAGTTAACTGTGGGTTGTGGATTTGGACCTAAATATCTCAGAAACTATAAGAGAGCACTACTTAGTTATTAAATTACTCAAGATGATGAACTGATAATATATATCAAGGTCAAGCTCATCAGGGCTGGTTCCACTGTAAATAATTCCAAAAATTTACTTTGAACATTTCCAAGGCATTTATGTGTTCATTTTATTAAAATATTAGATATATATATATCGTTGAGTTCCATATTTTCAGCTTTTTCTTTCTTTCAAAGTTACTCGCAAAAATGTTTAATTTCGCGTCACAATAAAATTATTATCGTCGTTATTTAGCTCTAATTTTATTGTTACTTTGTGACTAATTACAAATTTTTTTCCCTTGCATTTTAACCGTTTTATTTACGAGTTAATATTAAAAGGGAAGCAAATATTTTTAATAAAGCATTTCTAGCAAAGTGAAAATAAGATTTTTCTCTTCTTGTCTTTTTTTTTATCATTTGTATGCGGTAATGCAAGTCAGCATGAACGAACACGTCGCGAATCACATATTCGCTTCTTGCATTCTTTTTTCCACCGCTTCTTCCGTAAGTTTCGAATTTTGATTTCCGATCTACTGCACTCGTACAATTGTAAGGTTTTATTCTTCTCTTTCTTATTTCGCCGTCACCGAAAATATTCTTCACATTTTATTTCTCTTTTTACTTTTCCAATTTTTCGAAGGTACGTATTTACGTGTCGCTTACTTACAATTTACTCACGAAGCTCGGCGCGTAATTTCGATACACCTTCACTATGTCTTTTTCTCTCTTTGCGATTTCTTCAATTCTTTATCGACGTAGGCGTATATATGGGCCTTATACCTTATGTGGCCTTCTTTGCTTTTCTGTCCACAGAAAATGATCTTCATCATAATCTGCGTCCTAATATCGGCGGTCATACTAGTCGCCATAATAGTAGGGTGCCTTCCAAGAACCTAAACGGCCGAGGGGGGGTGTTTTTTGTAGGGGAAGGAAGGGTATGGGTGTCAAACAAGAAGAGTTTAAAGATTTTGAAAAAGAAGGTAGAGAAAGAAAAACGAGTGCATCGCGATAGCAAAAATGTCATAATAATAATATTAATAGTAGTAAATATAACAATAGAGCAAAGTAACAATAATAATATATGCAGAAACTTAGTTGCGATCAACTTGGGGAGAAACGCATGAGATCGGATGTGTCGTGTTATCAGAAGTTTCGTGGTAGGGGGAAGGGAATAGATGTTGTGGAAGAATTATGACGCATGAAAGTCGCTTAGAGTTGTGAACGTATCTTTAAAGTCGCACTAAGCCAAAAAGACAAAGGGAAATAGAAATGCTAATAAAATGGATGATCCCGCGCCGATCCTAATAACACGTTTCTCCGTAATCTTACGCCGATAATCCTTCAACTAATCTCTGTAACAAACGACTAATTAACGTAATAATCTGCACCATCGTATCCGCTCGTTTCGTTAATAATAAATACACTTCATTACACCGCTCGATGTTCCTCCGGATTGTGAATGTCTTAAATCGACGACGCGATGTCGTCGACGTGGTAATCTCAGTTTCAGGGTACCCGTCTTGTCAGTTTTATTTGTGCAAATAATCGATAATTGTGCTTGTGATTAACCGCAGAAAACTGTGAAGATGTGGAACCCAGTTTCTGGAGGAAATTCGAGATGATTGTTGGCAATTTTATTGATACGCATTTGTCATTTGCCATTTATTTGACAAGAAGTAACAAAATTTTTGTTCCGTACTTCGAGATACATAAAATTAATTGGCGAAGATGTACATATTTAACAATACTTTAATTCAAGTTTTTTCTATTTGTCATGATCTCTAAATCTGAATCAGTGGATAGTCACTAATTATTCAGTATGTGCATACTTAGCACTGATAATCAGTGAAGTTCAACTAAAAAAGAAAGAATGTTTGAGCATTATATAACTAAAATACTGACATTTGCACGTTAATTTCAATCTTCTAATACTGTATTCATTGAATTTAAGCAATTATATATTAATAAAACAAAATTAGATTACATGATAAAGATTAGCTAGAGGGATCTCATATTTAATCAAAGTTAGTTAGATTACATAAAAGATTAGGGATCTCATATTTAATTCACTGATTACCAGTGGCATACTTGGCACTGATATTAGTGATTATCCACTGATTTAGAGAGTATAATTATGTTTATATGATATACTTTTATTATTGGATTGGCAAATAAATTCATTCGGTTTTTTTAGGGTGGAATAAAACAATTTTATATTCTATTTTCAAAAGAGGCAATTATACTATTCAATAGAGTAAAGTTCAGTTCATTTTATTAATTATGCAGAATTAAGAATCGGTTTTTTAATTGCGGTGCGATGATTTTTAACGGAGTTATAAGCAATCAGTCGGAATGCTTTTTTATTTAATTCGTGAATAACTTAGTAAAAAATCGTAGGAACATTTTTTTTAACGAATTTTGAAGGAAAACTTTAAACTTTTATTTTTACACTTTTTTTTTTTATTACGTGATAGGCCCAAAGTGAGAAGAAAACTTTCCGTTCTTTCAGCTCGTAGTTTTCTATATGTAAAAATGAACAAAACTTAGGTAAACTCAAAAAATATAATAACCTTTTGAAAAAATAGCAATTTCAGATTTTAAAACCCGTTTTTTAAATTTAAATTTCGTTTTAACGAAAATATTGTGTATACAATTTAAACTAACAAAACCGAACGAATTTATTTGCCAATCCAATTATATTTATCAAAATTCGATGAGGCGCATATGTACGTGCGTGAATGTATTAAATGTCCTCCAAGTTTTCTGCATTTGATTATATTTATAAATTTTGTAAATAATCCGAATGCTAAAGCCAAAATTTGCAATTTATTCGTAACAATATATAGTATATAAATGTTTAAAAAAATCAATAAAATTTCTGTTAGCAAAGTATTAGTTCCATATTACTTGATGAATTCAAAGATGGCGAAGAGAGAAGTATGGAACGTTCTGTGTTAATAATATCTATTAGTCTTTGAATAAAAACAATAAAATGTGGAAAAGATACCGGAAGAATATTGTCAATACATATTTCAAAGGCAAATGCTGGATGAATGCGAGTGTAGTAAATAGCGTTTATAGATGCGTTTAATTGAGAATCTCTCTGATATATAATTAAACGCTCGAAGTCGGAACTGTCATTTCATCTCGAATGCTCATCCAAAACCGTCGCGATTTCAGTTCAATCTGCTATTTCATTTCATCTTTTCTTTTTGCTTTGTTTTTTTTTCAAGCGATCATGCAATTATTTTATTTTACAGAAATTGTTCCTGATATCGATCTGCGTGACGATAGCAGTCATCATTCTGATTATCATTTTGGCAGTTAGTTTAAGTTAACTTAAGCATGCGCACGCGACATTGGCGATAGAAAAAAAGAAATAAACACATTCTCAGAGTAAGTTTAACGGAATGAAGGGGAAAAAATAGAACAAATCGGGACGGGACAAGTATTTTGAATTGCCGAAATATTCGTCATTCTTGTCTCGTCTCTCTGACGGCAAGCCAGAATCCTATAACGAAGATCGACCACGTCCATCCTGAATCTTCGCCGGGAAATTCGGATAGCACGATACGCATCACCGATTTCGAGGTATCGTCTACGCAAGATCGTTAAGTTTATTTATTATTGAATTTTAATAAATTTTATGTGTTTATACGTTTATTAGTCGTAAAGAATTTACTTTGTATTCTCATGATTATACTAACCGCGGGTTTACCAATGTATCGAATGTAATGGTGATCAGAATCCATCGTGCGGATGTAATTTCCCGGAAAAACGCCTCGATGGACGCAAACGTCATAACGTCAGAGTAGAAGTTAGGAACGGTGATAAAACGTGCGCTATAAGTCTGGGTTGCACGAAGAACAAACTATCACTTTATTAGCGAAGATTGCAATCAAGTTCCTTCTATTGCGCCTCAATACGTTGGAAAACGCGTAAAACCGCGATATTAATTTTTATTACATTCTTTCGAAGAAACTATATCTTACCGATTGCGAGAAGAAATCGATACAAGAATTTGTATAAACTTGCAGAGTGACGGTTCTTGAAATTAAAAAAGAAATATAATATACGTATATAGTATTATAGCTTGTACAAATTAAATACTGTGTTTGTTTAAAATGCGTGCACTGCAAGTTTGCATTAAATCGTAGAAACGGAGATAAGAAATGTCGAGAAAAATGATCGAAGTCGGTGTTTTTTTTGGAATGGAATGGAGATCGCCATCACTGATAGCTTTTCCTCGCATTCGGGCGTATCTTCGCACTGCCTTTTATTATTTTTTTCCATTTTTATTATTTTTGCCACTTCATCGTTCTTATCCAAGTTCTGACGCGAGCGAGTAATAACGATGGCGATTGCACAATCGAAAATCACGCGCGATCGGACACATGCGCCCATTTCCAAATCGTCTTCAGACGAAGCTCGTCGTCGATTTGATACGAAATGCAGCGACAGCAAACTGAACCATTCGTGATTTTCATTTCTGTTTCTATATTTATCACCAACGAATATTGATCTTGACTACCGTGTCATTGGAGGAGAAATTGTTAAATGTCAGCAATCTATAAAACAGTTCGGAATCACTAAAATAAGATCTCAACATATTTTATATTCAGAATTCTCACTCTCATAACTCCATTCTCTAAATGAATAAATAAAGATTAAAATATGAAGGCAAAAATTATCATAGTAAATTTAATTTAAAAAAAAATCTGTTCGTTAAATTCTTCCAGTTTTATATTGAGATCTCTTAACATCGATTAAGAAAATACCCTTGGGACGTAGCTACAACGAGCGCGAGAAATATTCGATTTAAATTTTCAATCTTCGTTCTTGTCGAAATTGATTAAATTTATCGGCGCAAATTGTTTGTTGTCGCCGCAGATTCGTTTGATATCATTAAATCAGCAATACTCTTTAGATCAGACTTGTCCAACACTTTACCAGCAAACTATAAACGCTTTCACCTCTCGTTAAGTAAAATGTTTAGTTTACAAGCAAAATGTTGGAGAAGCTTGTTCTAGATAATAGAAAAGGCAATTTGAATCGGCGCGGGTTGGAGTTTGACGCTTCCGTATTTGTCCCAGAACTGATCGATCGTTTCTGTGCGAAATGTGACAGAGACGTTATCTTCTTCATGCCCGCGTACTTTAGTCCTTGCCTGGATACGAGAATTTCTGCTCGGTCGGGACATTAATCCGCGTGATAACGACGTGTTTCGCGATACGTATGTATGCTCCAATGAATACTTAGATATCGATCACCGTCGTCGCAATGCAGACCGCACGACACGATAATGGTGCCCGTGGCATTGTACATGTAAATAATCGTAATTTGTATAGAGCAGATGATAATAATAATAATAACGAGATAACGAAAAAAAGAGTAACAATATTAATCATTAATGCCGATAATAAACATTTTCTTCTTTGGATGTATTCAGCGTAAAAAAAAAGAAACGATTACACATAAATTGGAGAATGGCGATATGGTACGTCTTTATTTCTATCATCTTTATTGTACTTGCCGCCTCGTGGAGGAAGAAACAAAAAGGAAATTGTTCGTTAATAACACACCAGGTGCAAATAAAATGAGATGTAATATAATTAGCTGACCGTACGAAATAATAGTAGAATCGCGAAAATAATAGAATTCATGTCGCGTTTTATACAAGATATAAGAGAAAAGAAACATCAATGCATTCGATTGAGAATTAATTCATGGTGGATATTAGATATAAATTTCTTTGGCGGAGTATGCTTGCTGCGAAGATAGGGAGAGAGAAAAGCGAGATAAGATAAATTAGAAAAGAATCTTGTTGAGAAGATGCATCGTTGAAGCTGCACGGAAACAAGAGGAAATTCTTGGAACACGGACGTTAACGGTGTCGATTAATGAAGGTCTGTATTCCTATTTTTTTTCCGATTGTTACTGATCTCTTTGATTACCTTTAATTTCTATCTCATTTCTCTCTATTAGATGCAACAAAAAGACCACGAGATTTCATTACTGATAATATCGCGAAAAATTTTAAATACTGACAAAATAGTGTCAATTCTATGATTGATTACTTTTTCTCATGTACAAGGCATTTCAGATTTCTCGCACTTTTTATCATCTCTAAAATTTTTCGGCCAGTCGAAGTAAAAAATTTTGGTTTTTAAAAAAATTTCGATTTTTTCTTAGTTAAGATTTAATGTCGTTTTTTGATAAAAAATTTGTGACGTCTTGTATATGCACATTGAAGATAAGATTATCAAAATTAAAAACATAGTAAGTTACTTACTTATTAGAATTACATCATATCCTGACCATTGAAGCAATTCAATTTAAAAATCGGAACACATTGCGAGAGTCAGCCGTTCAATTGCTATTTCCGTTGGATATATATCACAGTTACATACTCATGCATCATTTTTTATGCAGGCCACTGCAACGTGCATCGTCCGTGCCGGCAACGAGCAAGAGCTTATTTCTTTCAGGTATTTTACTATATAATCGATCGATAAGTAAACAGTTGTAATGTAATGTGTAATGTAATGTGTAATGTATTAACAATGGACAGAGAGCACACAGAATAGGAGGCAGATGAAGAGAGAGAAAGAGTGAGAGAATGGGGGGAAATAGATGTGAGAATAAAAAAATTTAAGAATGAGAGTTAGGAGAGAGAGAGAGAAAGAGAGAGAGAGAGAGAGAGACAGACCGAGAAAGGTTTATAATAAATTATATTAAATTTTAACGATCTCTGTTAATGCCGAGTGCAGAAGAAGATCATGATCATGATTTGCCTCGCCGTATTGGGCGTTGTCGTCGCTACCACCATCGGTGGATATTTCGGACTGTGAACGCCAAACCAGGTACGTGCCAGGACGCGTGATATTTGATATTTTATTGTATTGGGAATGTTCAGATAACGATAAGAATATATGTGAATAGCCGTTTTATTAACGCGTATATAGTTGCTATAATTATTATTTGATTGCCCGCTGTTGTGTTGAAACAATATACAACGATATGTACAGTCATGGACTAAAAGATGCAACACTTTTTTTCAATGAGTTTTTAATGGGTTTTTTTATTTATGGATCCATAAGTAACAATCAATCCTTCGGTGAGTTCATTCCAAAACCTATCGAAAGAATCACAACCTTTTAATCTGTGAGTGTACATCATTTTTAACTTCAGAAGTTTTTAAAATTAACTTTTTTACATTTTATTACTTACTATTATCAATAACACTAGTCAACAAATAAAAAAATTTGTTGATAATATGAATAAGGTGATTTTTAATCGTTTTTGCTCACTGAATACAAAAATATTAATAAAAATTTTGTAGCACACATAACTCTTTTGTTATCGAAATATTTATTATGACGTCATTTTTGAGAGAGAGAGAGAGAGAGAGAGAGAGAGAGAGAGAGAGAGAGAGAGAGAGAGAGAGAGAGAGAGAGAGAGAGGGGAGAGGCAGATATCCACTTTATTTTTCTTCAATCACTTTTACATCGCGAGATAGATTTAAAGTTCTTCTTTTCTTTCCTTTTCAACTATGTGAGAAGAGATAATATGACGACATATACATGAGAAACTCGTTTTACTTTGATTTTCAACTTATGATTGAAATATAGAAGCTTTCTTTAAAGTTTTTATAAGCTATCTACTTTGTGATTTTATAAGGAAATAGCTACACACATAATAAAATTTATTTCATACATTTAAACAAAATCTATGGGAAGAACTTGCTTTAGATTTTCAAAGCACAAGTCTTTTTAACTACACAAAAATGACGTGTTACGACTTTTTGAATATCAAATATGAAAAACAGAAAAGGACAAAATGTAGATGTTAAAATTTTGTTGACCAGTGTAATTAATAGCATTAAGCTGATAATACATTGGCATTCCAAAATCCTTAAGATTTTTATTTTGGTAATTGCCCTGTATGCACTCAGACGATCTTTTTGTTCAGAAAAGTCCAAAGACCAGCAGCATCGTGTACCTAATTTCGAACCGCCGGCAGCGTCAGCAATCACTCATATCGCTTCGATACGTGAGGCTGATCGCCATCAGACAAAAGAAGATCGTCATTGTCGAAGGTGCCATCATCGGCGCATTTCTGTCGTAACACCTATCATCGTTAGAACCTTCAGTCTATTACGCGCGTTCTCCAGCTCGACACGAAGAAAACCAAAGAGATAAAGGATCGTCGTTGCCATCGTTATTATCGTCGCCGACGTCACCATCATCATTCTTATTGTTGTGCGTCGTCCTCGTTGTCCTTATCGTCGTCGTCATCATCGTCATCATCATTATCGTCATCGTCATCATTATTATCATCGTCATCGTTATCGTCATCGCTGCGTTGCGTCAGCTTCACTTTAAAAGTCTCCTCTGATAGCTAGTGCGTTAGTTGCGTTTGATCGGGAAAAAAATGGAAAGGAGCGAGAAAAACATATCCCTCGTTTTTCTATTCAAGTATTAATTCGATAATTTTCCGATAGATTCATTTAGCAATCAATTCCAAGTCAATACTCTCCTCCTTGCCCTTTGTTCATCCTATCACGCTGAAGCTTAGAATGTAAGCTTCTCTTCTGTGAGCGTCCTCAATGGTCTTTTTTCTCCTCTTTCCATGTCCCCCTGCGTGTTCTCTTCTCACGGATCATGCGGCAAAGATAATAGACGACAGGAGGCCTCGTGAATGAAATGGCCGAGAAAATGAGAGACGCTCTCATCTCTCTAGAATGCAACTAAAACTATCGATCGGAGATATGTACGCACCATCGGTTAAGCGACATCTCCGATCGACGTTCTGACACAACGTCGTCCTATCGTCGACAGGACGATAACTTGACACAAGGATACTGCCGGTGTTTTCCCTCTTCCTTTCCCTAATATGCGCACGAATGTCCCTGTTAAATATTACTAGACATCATTATGATACGCATTGCACGTCGGAAACGATGGTTCGCGCGACGCAATCTTCGTAGTATCTGCTTCGATGCGACCCGAGCCCAACACCCAATGGTGCTTCTAAACGCGAAGACGATGAACGGCTCGCGGCTATCACTTTCCTTTTCGTCGCGAAAGTAACATATGTACGATGCCGCTTAAAAAGCTATTTTTTTTTACTGTGATTTGTACACCGAAAATTTTGAACAAATCACTTCGAAGTCACATTCTAAAGACGCATTTCGCCGACCTAATCTATGTCCGTTTATATACACGAGAGATAAACCGCTGACTAAAAATTTGTACGCCAAATTTGTATCGTCTAGATAGTTCACTAACTCCCGTAAAGTAAATTCTTTCACGCGGTGATATAAATAGTATTAATTGATATTAGCAATTATTCATTTATTAGTAATTTCTAGCTATTTTTAGGTGTCCCTTTCTCGAAGACTTACAAGTTTCGAACAAAATTTTGTGAGCATTGCGCTCCGAGATCGACCTCTCGGAAAGAATTTCTGATACCAAGAAAAAAATATTCTTGACGTACTTTATCGGATTTCGTATACATGATGTTATAACGTAATTGTATCGAAGCTCTTATGATGTAGCACGCTAGATACGCGACTAACAATAAGGAACGAGGGATCCCGTATTTTGAGTCCCGGCCGGGCTCAGTTTTTCGTCGCCGAAATGTAAGATACTGACATTTTGCAAACTTCTTTCCGCAAGAATAGCGTAAGAGATTTCCTTCAGATCAGTGTTAAATGAAAAATATTTGTTTTAAACTTAATGTTATAAAACTTAAATCTTTTTATTAAGAAAATTAATGGGATAGCATCAAGAATATTTTATTCTAGATTTTAGAATTTTCTATTAAAGAATAACATATTCTTCTTTAAAGAAGAACAAATATGATTGGCTCTGTATCGATCTTATTTTATTCTAGATCGAGGAATAATAGTTGAATACGTATTTAGTGGATGATAAATGGTGTTTACTGATGAAAATTTAGATACTGGATTTTACCTAAGTGAAAAAATTAACAGCTGTTAACAACAAGTGATACTTGTAAAGTTCTACTACCTCGACCAGCGGTTTAACCCTCGGCTATACATATCACGTCAATTCTGAGTATAACGTTTACATCTCTACACCTCTCTATATTCGGATGATTATAAGGAATCAGCTAGAACCTAGATGATGTTTTTTCTTCGCAGAAAACAGTATATCGAGTATGAGTCATGAAGTTAAATTGGAGAAGCGCGTAATTTAAGATAGATTGTGCATCAGTGTTGGCTAACCACGGTTCATGAAATTCTCTTTTCACGCACATAAAAAACAGCAAGATATTGTACAATAATATACCATTAGATTAGAAATCCTAGTTTTGTATAAGCTTAATTAAGCATTCTTCATATTTGCAGTTGGCTAACCAATACTGTTGATACAATGACCTTCGGAATACTCGGTTAATTCACGATAAGAAAGGCATCGACGTGAGCAATGTGATTTTTATAACGGGTATTTTTTAAGTAAAAGGTGTTTGCATATTCACTGTGTGTTGTTTGTTCTATTGATAGTTTACTCGAAAAGATATTTCGACCAATAGGTGTTCAACAGTGAGAGAGAAACAATCAATTCTTCCAATATTTCTATTTAGTAGTAATTAGTGTGATATTAATCACGATATAGCGAGGTGTAGCGATTGTATCTTTCTGTAGGCACAACGTCGTTTCAGAATGTGACCAACAGAAGCGAGAACGAATGTTCAGGTGTGTCAGATGTTAAAATAGATTTAATAATGCGATATATGTAAACTAAATTCGTTTTTGCTTCTAGACGATTAATTTTGCTGATGTTTTTTTTTTTCACTGAATCGATAAAGTTTGTGGTCTCTGATTTCGTGCTGCACGATACGCACCATTAGGTATTGGGTATGACGATTATCCTTAATCGCGATTCTCGTCTTGGATAATTTCGCGTCTTCTGTAAATCTTGACGAATCATCCTCGGCGAAAGTAATCCCTTCGTCGTATACTTTTGCTTGAAAAGTATAAAATTGAAATTGTATTAAAATTAAGAAACATAACTTCGTTGTATCTTGCTAGTCTTGGAAATAATGTAACACGATTGCGCGAATGATTGATTCGATTTTGAGTTAAATCTGAAATTAATAGAAATAGTCAAATTCATAAATTCGTTACTTTTATAGATTTTTTATAACTTTCTTTATAGTTTAGTACATGGATTTTGAAGCTATTGTCACGTTACCTCTAAATAACACCTTTCGTTTTTTCAAGATCAACGCATGTATTCGAAACGATTATAACTCTAATTGTAAATCTCAAATTTCCCTTGTTAAATTATACGCGGGTTCTCGAAACTAATCATGCGAAAGGTGCATCATCTTCGAAACGATTAACCCCAACATGGACGAAATAACAGAGAGAACATGAAACGTGTAGAAAGCAAGAGACATTACGTAAGAATGAGAGAACGTGTGCGAGTGTGTATGTATGTATGCATGCATTCATAAGAAGCAGAGAAAAGGAGCCATTTTCTCTTAAGCTGCAGCAATAATATAATTATAGATGTTATGAAAAAAAATAATTAAAGAATAATCTCATTGGCAGAATGAAGAATGAGCGATATTGTATGTACACGGATATGTATACATATACATATTTAAAAAAATATATATATAGATAGGTAGATAGAGAGAAATGTCATTACGGATGAGGAAGAAAAA